AAGCACACGACGAACAGTGGCCTTCCTAAGGCGCGCTAGCAACCGTTGAGACAAGGATATCGACGTCATGATTGGCATCTACCTAACGTAGTGCGTGAAGTGACGTAATGACCGAGAACTGTGAAAACAACGACGAAGAATTAATTTAACGATCGGAGCAGCTTTGCTATGTGGAGCTTGCGACGTCTCGAAGGGGATAACAAGAAAACTGACGTTTGCAAGCCAGTTAAAGAGGATGCGTGAAAAAGCCTTGAGAGCCTAGGTTGACGGTGACGTAAACCATAGATTAGATATCACTCAGTTTAGGCCCTATGCTTCACCAAAATGTTCCACATTGTTCATCTATGACAGACGCAGTGAGATCACTAAGATTGAAGAAGATCCAGACCGACGGAGGGAATCATCGCTAATTGACGGCTTATTTGCGACTGGATTCGAAAATCGCCCCCCGGCCGCCACCGCTGACCTTGCCATGACCTTCGCCCGCCACGCGCGCCGGCCGGCGGACGGCTGGTGGTTCGCCGTCGCCTCGCACCTCGGGGCAAAGGACGAGTTCATGCCCTGACCCACAGTCGGCATGCATTTACATCTGAACTGGCGTGATGGATGGGAACGGCGCGGAGGAGCATATTCAATATTCATCACAAAGGGCATCCAGGGATCTGATTCCGATGTCAAGGAAACGGCGGGATACGCCACGTATGAGTGGCGGCGCCTGCTCTGTCAGTGAGGCGTGAATCACTTTCGCATTGTAGTGTGAGGTAAATCGAGAGTTTGAGGTAAATCGAGATTCCAATACGCTCTCGATGGCCGATGCATCCTGCTTTGGCCTTTGAAGTTATCGCGTGGCATTAAGTGTAACATAAGGGGTACTCCTGACAGTTAGGAATCATGACATTTTTCAGAGCGAGGTAGTATTGCGATTCAATCTGACATATAATGCATATATGTACTGCATATAGAGTGCACGTAACGTGGTCGGATAGCAGGTTATTACGAAGGTCACAAGCCCAAACAAACTGATGTGATCTTTTCAATAAACTGAGACGGGTGCATGCCCCTTTGGGGCAGCAAGCCAATTCTAACATCCTTAGGCTACTTTGGTTGTTTGTGTATTCGTCCATCGCGCCAGCCGTGTAGGAAACACTGGAGGTAACTGGGCTTCGGGACAAGTACACCAGCTGTCTGTGTCCGTGTGCGTGTGTGTGTTGTGTGAGCGTATGTGTGTGTGCGTGTGCGTGTGCATGGGTGTGACTATGCGCACGTGTATGCGTATCAGTGCCTATGCTTCGTAATCTGCTCCCCTGCTCTCCATTGGGAGCACAAAAGGTGAGCGCGTGTGAGTGAGACACAAGCGCTCGGCTGGCTCGCGAGCCGGCGGTGGTCGGGGCCTTCTCTTACGTAATTCACTTATTCCTAGCGTCGAATGCATAAATACTTTTGATTTTGTTTCCTGTCATGGGAATCTTTGGTACGCCCTTCGTTTGGTCAAAAGCGCGGTGCGTGGCCGCAACAGATAAACAAAAAAGACGCCCACGTAGCTTTAAGAGGGCGTCCCACATTTGTACTGAGTTTTGAACCGAGATGGCCATTTGGATAATCATTTAATACAGTTTACAGGCATGTTTTTTAATGGCTTAAAAATCCCGTGTTTTTTAACTTGGTGCCCGCAGACTTGTGCACACTGTGTCGTGCAGACTACTTCAAGGTCACCCCGGGTATTCATAACGCCGTACAAACGCCACGCAAACACCGTGTCGTCATTGGTCATGTACTGTTCAAGGTCAATAAAAAATATAATGACCGGATTATTCGTGTTCAGCGTACGTCAGCACGATTCATGGCATCAGCGGTCATCAGTGTCCTGTCGACAATTTTGATGCGTTGAGTGCAGGTTTCGAACACAAATCACGTTTAGTGCTGTATAATCTAGGGATCTTGGCAGTGGTACAAATTATGACGGAAGTGACACTGCGATTCCAAAATCTGACAGCGGCACCAACGGCACTTCGTCCGTCTTTGCCAGGAGCGTCGACCGCGTCCCCGCCGTCGAGGCGCCCCTGTCCATGCCCGAGGGCGGGCCCGGAACTGGGCGTCCGGTCTCGCCGCGGACGCCTGGAACTGACCGCCCGGTCTCGCCGCGGACGCCGTCCAGGGCGAGCTGAAACTGCTCCATGTTGCTGACGCGAAAACCTCTGGAGCCTTGATGAATCTTGAAGTACATCTAACCATGGCTGATGTAGGTCGTGTAAGTAATCCCCTGTCTTTTAACGAACATCCATTTTACGTCTTTTAGCGTGCATTCACCCTTTCCCGCTTCTTTGGCGCAACTGGCTCGGGGACGTATATCTTTTTCTTGAGGCCTGTCTGTGCCTGTTCCGGTCCAGAAATCTCTCACATATTGAGTCACGCAGACAATTTTCTTGCAGAATTTGTAAATCGCCGTATCGTCGGCCTGCTGCCGATGCGCGGCCTCAGATGTCCGTTGGGCGCGCTTCAGCCCCTGCGCTGAGGCAATACCCTGGCGCGAGCTCCAGGTTTACTCTCGAAAAATTCCAAGTTGGGAGTTATCTCTAATATCAATCCTTCTAATCCACCCTCTTGAAAATTACGCCTGCCGCACCGCATCCATTCTAAGCCGGCTTTCGCAACGCAGCCGAATGGTAACCGCCCCCGGTATACAAACCGCCGATGACGGTACAAACGTAACAAACCGGAGATGGAGTGCGTCTAATTGTAGCGCAATTATGTTTTGTTCCATCTGGAGGCGACATAATTTTCGTGGTTAGGACTCCAATGGGAATTATTATCCCATTAAAGCCAACATCCGTGAGTGGATCACCAATGATGACAGCCGCTCTGGAAATTGAGTAGGCAGCGTGTCCGTTAAAGTCCTGACTGCGTGATCAGGCAGCCCACGCCCGTTACCAACGACCGCCGTTACATGACATTTTTAGAAGCACCGGTGCGGAGCCATGCGTCGACACTTTGTTCAGTCTGACTAAAGCACCAGTGGTTGGCCATTCATTGACACCATTTCCAGCCTGACTTTCACTGGGCTCCTGCAACTGCGAATGCCGCTAAAACGCTCACCCCCATGTTCTGTGGCAGAGTTTGAGAGCTCGCGGCGGGCCATGCGACTTCAAACGTCCTCTCCCCTGCACCGGTGCAGCAACGAGCATAATACGCACCGCAGTGCACCACATGCCAAGGTTGCAGAATGCGTCATTCTGCAAGGGTTGCAATCCAACATCTGAGAAATAAGTATGCCCAAAACCTTTGCCCACGGATTACTGAATGCACTGTAATACTGGCACAGCCTGACCGTAAGCTCCGAGCAGAATGCCGATGTCAGGTTTGTGTTCAGAGCGTATCAAGACAGAGGTTAGCACTAAGCTTCTACAGAGAAAATCTTTGGAAGGCGATGTCGAATATTCAGGTCAACTTAGCAAGTGATGCATTCGTCCGAACGCATCACCGAATGTCAGAAGTCAGATAAACTGCATAATACAGCTGAATAGTAGAAGGTTTCTTCTGATGACGGATGCTACAGAGCGTAGCCATGTTTCATTTTCCAGCCTGCGCAAGAGGATATCAGTATCCGTTTTGCGTTACACATCTGAATAATTATTTTTTGGCTTGTTTCTAGTGACTATCGCAGTTTTCACCATGTCCTACAGCAGCAATCAGTTCTGAAAAATAACTATGTATATATTAAGTAAATTATGCGTGTGTATGTCAATGCGCCCGCGCGCGTGTATGTGTGTGTGTGTGTGTGTGTGTGTGTGTGTGTGTGTGTGTGTGTGTGTGTGTGTGTGTGTGTGTGTGTGTGTGTGTGTGTGTGTGTGTCCGTGTATGCGGTAGTGTTACTGGACCGTAATGCTAACGCATACGCAGATTGAATGCCGCGACACAGTGCTAGTACGCATTGCTGCATGTCTTCCACTGGGCCCAATCTGCAGACAGTTTGGTAAAAATATTGCAGTGCTTAGAGCAAACGTATGGTAAAAAGAAACATACAGCACGCATGAGTGTATGCAGTAGTCTTCTACGTAGCCGGCCACGATTTGTGGCTTTGTTTTGTTTTTTGCGGGAACCGACCCTGGTATCGGGTTGGAATCGAGGTCAGTTGAAAAGTTCAGGTCTGAATGCAGGTTAGCACGCGTTAGAATTGTCGCATTTTGTGGAGCGCCACGGTGGTTTCATGTTGCAGTCATGTATAAATAATGGCTGTCCGGCACGCGCAGTCGGCATTGTTCACTGCGTGTGCATGCCAAGGTCTGGTTGCATGCTTACATGCAGTACGTCCAAGTGGACACCCAGCCACGAGAACAGGACACCCATAGGTAGCAAGGCATCATATCACGACGCTTTCACAAGGCTACTATTTCAACACCACGCAAGGGTTCACGAGAATGCCGAATATTTCCTAAAACTGCAGGATTAAAACCGACGGCCTGCATGATGCGCAGCTGCACAGCTCAAAATAGCTGACGAGTTTGGACAGCTGACAAAGCTTCTATGGTAACCCCTGCTTGTCTCATTTCCTACCAGACTTTGGTTCGCCGCTTATCAGCAGCTGCGTGGCGTACACGGCCGCTGGTCTGCGGTGCCGAGGCCGGCCGCTATGCGTCAGCGCCGATGACCGTGGGCTGGCTGACTCGGGGCCCTATCGCGTCCTGCGGTCGCTGGAGCCGCGCTGGCCGGCTGCAGAGCGGAGGTGACAGCTGTCCTCTGTCTGAGTATGGCCGCCGCACAGGCGGAGATCCTGCCCGCCGCCTCACTAGACAGGCAGGAAATCCGGCCGTCTCCTCCCTCCCCCCTCCTCCTCCTGCCCCGGCGACGCGAACATGGCGACGCGCTCCCCGACTTCGAGCAGCGACGCCAGACAGCAGCACCGGTGATCACTATCGCAACTGCACCTCCATCATTCGCAACTGGTGCACTTCATAGCCTTCGCTCACGGGCTTTGTTCCGTCAGAGAACCAGGTGAAGACACGGAAACATTTATGCACTTCAATAAATACGCAGACCACAGACTAGCATGCATTTCTTCACTTCACGTGGGACGCAGGCGAGACTTTTCAGCGAGACCCACAGCAGCGTTTCTGTTGAAAAGCCGCCACCGAGCGCCGGACCGCAACAGGGCGCCGGCCCTACTCCCTCAGCCCCTGCCGGCCTATATTTGTTCGAAAACGAGTTCGGAGGCTCCAGAAGCAGAGCGATAGGCACCGTCTCACAGCTAGAATGCTTCGCAAGGCACGGGCACGTGATTACACGTCATTAACGACTCCAAAGCGAGATCGTTTACACTGGGAAATGGGATTGCAACGCACCAGTCCGAAGCGTGCTAATGCCCAATCCTTCTGTCTCCTCCTCTCGTCACAACCCTGACCGCCAGTCCACTGCCATGAACGATTGTCAGAACACCTAAAACAAACGGACGCGTTCACTGCTGGGGCGAGGAGTCACGTGGACGGCGTGGCTCCGCCGGGACGGTAGACTAGCATTTCGCCGCACGACCCCACTGCACCACGCTCATGTTCGCCTGACCAGTGCGGTCACCCCATAACAGAGGGCGCAGGTGTCATCAGCAGGGCTGCTCCTGCGGCTCTCGCTCGTCGCCGGCCTCTCCGGGGAGAGGCTGCGAGCCGCCGCCCTCCTTGGCCTCAGGCCAGGGGCCGCTGCGCCCGCCCACATCCCGGCGAAACTCATCCAGCTGGCGCTGCAGCTGCGCCGACAGCCGCGCCTCCATGTTGCTCAGCAGGTCCTTGATGTCCTCGAAAGAGACGGCGCGCGCCGCGGCGACCTCGCGGCCGCGGTGCATCCGCAGCATGCCGTCGGTCTCGGGAGACCGGAGGGAGGTGTTGCGACGACCAGGGGCGGCCGGCGCCGTCGGGCGTCCGCCCCAGGAGCCGCCGCCGGAGCCCGCCTCGCGACCCTCCTGGTTCTGCAGCGCGCGCCAGATCCGCTCCAACATCTCCTTGCTGATCTTGTGCTCGCGGATGCTTTTGGTCTTGTAGTCAAGGATCTGCAAGTGGTGCGACTTCTGCGGATGGTTGGGAAGGAGGAACACGCGCTTGGAGAGCACGTCCAAATGGATCGAGTCCAGCACGGGTTGTGTGGCGACCTGCAGCCACTTGCAACTGCACAGCGACTTCATGAAGGCCGTCATCAGTTCGGTGTTGTATATGAGTTGTGACTGCTTTTTGAGGCGCTCTAGGTGGGCGCCCTGGCGAAGGCCCTGCACGTCGTTGACGGCCAGCGCCACGAGCAGGTTGGACAGGATGATGGAAACGAGGACGAGGAACAGGAAGAATATGATGTGACTCGTGCCGCGCAGCGGAGGCTGGGTCTTGTCCAGGAAGAGAGCCTCATAGTCCACCTCTCCTAGCATCAGGGTCAGCGTCTTCATGAACGAGTTGAACGGATCGGAAAACGCTCCCTCAGTGCGGAAGGCCAGGTGGAAGCTGATGGAGAACGCCACGAGAAGACTGAAGTAGACGAAGAATATCTTGCAGAACACATTGGCGACACGTATGAACATGCTCACGTAGATGCCGCAGCTGGGGAACTGTCCGACCATGTGCATGGTTTTGGACCAGAGGAAGAGCACGTAGAAAGCCGCCATGTGTGTCTGCCAGGCACCGCCACCCTTGGCGCTGACGGCAAAGAACATGAGGAACAACAACCAGTTGAAACAAGACACGGCATTGGTGAAGTAGTTGGACGCGGACGAGATGATGTTGAGGACCTCGTGCACCACCAGAATCGCAACCATGGTCACGGACGTCCAGTAAAAGCCCGCTTCCCACTCCATGATTTTGGCCGTGAACGTAGAAGTTCGTTCCTTATCACTGTCGCCAGATGCACCTGGGGACTGCGTGCCCTCACTGACGTTGTTGGCACTCGCGTTCGCCGCCGGGTGGATCACCCGGTTTTCTTTCTCCCACACGAACTTATTGAGGATGAAGAACGTACTCACAACCACAAACACCATGTAGAACAGCAGTTTTAACACGAAGAGTTTGACCACGCGATGCCACTTGAGCGCCAGGAACGCCTGGCACACGGGGTGGATGAGAACGTCCGACTCGCCGATCCGAATGAAGTTCCGGAGCATGTCCGTGTGGCACATGGCGTCGGCGCGGATCAGCGGCTTGAAGTTGACGGTGATCTCGAAGTTCTTGTTGTTCTTCGGCAGCTTGTTCGGCACCAGGCAGTGGTCGAGGATGCTGTCGAGCGCGTTCGGGATGTTCCTCAGCATCATCGCCAGCGCCGTCTCGCCCTCCGAGTTCTTGGCCTTGAGGTCGGCACCGCCGTTCAGCAGCGCCACCGCGTTCGGTATGGAGCCGGCCTTGGCGCACTTGTGCAGCGGTGTCTCGCCCTGGTTGTCGGGTAAGTTGACCTCGGCGCCGGCCTCCAGCAGCTGGCGCACGCAGCGCACTTCGTGGCCCAGCGCGGCGTCGTGCAGCGGCGAGTAGCCGCGCATGTCCTGCACGAACACGGCGCTGCGCCGCCGCGCCAGCAGCACGCTCAGGCACTCGGCGCAGCCGGCCACCGCCGTGAAGTGCAGCGGCGTCTGGAAGAACTTGTTCTCGATGCTGGCGTCGGCGCCGCGTCCGAGTAGCAGCTCCACGCCCTGTCGCCATTTGACGCGCGCCGCCTGGTGCAGCGCCGACTCGCCGAAGAAGCCGTTGACGGCGTTGACGTTGGCTCCGCGGTCGAGGCTGGTCGTCACCAGCTCGAGGCTGCGCTTGTCGATGGCCTGGAAGAGCTGCTGGTCGGCGGCCGTCGGCTGCGGCGGGTTCAGCGGCGAGTGCCGGTGGCTCATCTGCCGTCGGCGCGACATCTCCAGCCAGCCGGACGTCTGGTGGCGCAGCGACCGCGCCATCACTGCCGCCGGCACAGAACGGGTCAGCATGCGTCATCACATCTCGGCACGAGCCAGTGCAGGCTGACGCGGTTCGGGTCACGCCGGACACGGGTCAACAAGGGTTAAATGATTTCAGCAAGAGGTGACGGGTCAAGTCATCATAGGCCAACAGAGTGAATCAAGGGTCAGCACAGGACTGTAACCAAGGGAAAGTACAGGTAAACACAGGTCAATACAGGTTAGCTAAGATCGTTATGCATCAGAACAGGTCAGAGGCAATCAGCAAAGGCCAACACAGCCATCACAGCCATCATAAGCCGTGAAAGGCTGACACGGGTCAGACTTGATCAGCGCATGGCATTGCAGAACAAGGGCATAACAGTGTTGTCTGCCTTCAGTTCGGCGGTTTGGGAACAGTCAGTGCGGACCAGTTCACAGGGGATGAACACAAGTATAGCATGGCGACCAGGCAAGCGCAGTACGATGAAAGATTTAGAACGTCAGAGGGGGCAGCGTCAGCTGAAATGAGACTCACTCTTGCGTGGTGTTTATGGACAAGAATGATGGTTTGCACAAGACAGCGGTTGACTCTCTTACTCACCTTAGAATATCGCGGACGAATAATGAGCATGTACTTTTTTAGGTTCAGTATTTTTACCGCACGCCGAAACCTCTATTTCTGCCAGAAAATTTGTACTGGCAGAATACAAACATATTCGGAGCTGCGACTCCAGCCCAGTGTTAGCAGACCATTGTTTGCCAGCAGCCATGACATACCGGCCATGGCTCTGATAGCGTTGCGGGGTCAGGAGATCAGCGAGGGACTCCATCTGAGAGCGGCCGGCTCCACTCGAGCGAGACGGCCGCGGTACGAGCGCGCCGGCGCCGCCACCGCCTGACGGGGACGCGCTGAGCGGCGGCTCACCCCAGACGGTGCCAGGCCTCACTGACGCCTGTCTGCCGCAGACGGGCGGCTGCAGCGCTCCCCTGACGTACCGCCGCAGGTGGGGCGGCGCCCCAGCCAGGCACGCCACACGCTGACGCACGGCCGCGGGTGGGGCGGCGCCCCCAGCCAGGCACACCGCAGCCTGGAGTACCGCCGCGGGTGGGGCGGCGCCCCCAGCCAGGCTCACCGCAGCCTGGCGTACCGCCGCGGGTGAGGCGGCGCCCCCAGCCAGGCTCACCGCAGCCTGGAGTACCGCCGCGGGTGGGGCGGCGCCCCCAGCCAGGCACACCGCAGCCTGGAGTACCGCCGCGGGTGGGGCGGCGCCCCCAGCCAGGCACACCGGTACAGGCACACCGCCGAGGCGGCGCCCCCAGCCAGGCACACCGGCACAGGCACCCCGCTGAGGCGGCGTCCCCAGCCAGGCACGCCAGCACAGGCACACTGGTGAGGCGGCGCCCCCAGTCGTGTACGTCACATCCCCTCACGTTCAATGACATGTAATGATGACCTGCCCTGCTTTCGCTGTCGCCTGACATGGCCTATCTATCTGCAGCTTTACCACATCATTTGTATCTAAACCACTGTCCGGCATTGCAACGGCGTTGTATTTCGGCATGAGTGCATGCCAAATGTAATACGAATGCTGTGGAAAGTCGGACAACTCTAACGGCTGTAGCTGAATGTCTAGGTAATTCTCTTAGCTTCGAAGTTTCTTTAGTTTTAAGTTTAAAAAGTGTTTTAATTCTCTTCCATTCCAATATTTCCAGCGGCTTCTTTTTGATGTAACAGCAGATGACATTTTACAGCATTCCGGTTCCAAAATACCACCGCCACCAATCAGATCCTAGTGTTTGATCCGGCAGCCTTCCAGCATTTTCAGCCAGTCAGTGGTCGGGCTGGTGCCGCTGTATGATATCACAACAAACCCAGAAAACACCGTTAACATCACAGCCCGTGCCTCGGACAAGTGCGTGACGTCATTGCGCACCCTGGCTCAGCTGACAGCCCGCCGTGCTTACTTTACACCAGATTTAGCCTCTGTCGCGGCCCCATCCGACGGCCTCCCGGACACAGCGCTGTCCGCGATTTAGCCTCCGTCCCCGTCGTCGCGGCCCCATCCGACGGCCTCAGGGGCACGCGAGAGCGCGACACAGCGCTGTCCGCACCCGATATCCCGTGGTTTGGCCTGTGACGTCAAAGACTGCGCAAGTCACGACTCGCGTGGGGGACAGCGAACAATTCACATGTCTGCGTCACTCCGCCACCTGCCGTCATCTCGCGCTAGCCGCGACCATCGCCACTCGGCGTCCTCACTTTGTCTCCAGGGGGACGCCACCGCAGACGACAGGCACGCTTCACTGCCAGTCAACAGACGACCACGCTCATTCGAGCTCTTCGGGCACGCGCTGGGAGGGTGTGCCTGCACCGCGGGGCCGCCGGAGTCGCGCACGGCCGGCCAGGGACCCCCGGAGCGCGCCGCCGGCTGCGCCTCGTCTCGGCGGCCAGCGCGCCGCCACTGACCGCGCCGCGCCGCCACTGACTGAGCCGCGCCACTCGGTCAGTGCCGCGCCCAGGTGCGAGCGAGACCGCCCAGCACACCTCAAACACACGAGCGTGTTCATTCACCGGCACGATTAGACGATAAACAAACATCGGCTGGCGGAGTCGGGGGGCCGCTGCCTCCAGCAGGGGGGTCGCTGCCTCCAGCGGGGGGGGGGGGCCGCTGGTGCGGTGCTGGCCGCCGTGCCGGCTCGTTGCCTGGCCCCTGGGACGGTGGGTTGGGTCATGGCAGGTCACGGTGGGATAGTGGCAGCGGTATGGGAGGTCGCGGTGAGATGGTGGCGGCGGGATGGAAGATCAAGATGGGATGGTGACGTTTGGGAGGGAGGTCACGATGGTTTGGCGGCGTTTGGGCAGCAGGTCACAGTGGAATGGTAGTGCTGGGATGGGAGGCCACGGTGGGATAGTGACGGTGGAGCGTGAGGTCACGACGGAATAGTACCGGTGGAATGAAACGGCTCGGTTTGATGGTGGTGGTGGTGGGATGGAAGGTCACGGTGGGATAGCGGCAGCGGGGTGAGAGGTCACGGTGGGATAGCGGCAGCGGGGTGAGAGGTCACGGCTGGATATCGTCCGCCACTCCTCGCCAAGAACGGAGCGCCATCCCGGGCCCGCCGGGTGGACGGGCTCCGAGCCGTGACGGCTGGCTCGGGTGGACATCAGTCGTTCGCAGCGTCCGGGATAGGCCACCACCTGGTGGCACGGTGGCGCGCCGCGGTGTGTGTACCGAGCCCTGCGGCGATTTGGGGCAGGATCTGCCTGCCGTTTGTTCATTCTCGTTCGTGTTGTTCAATCGAGTGCGCTATTACGATATGTTCGCAATTTGGCTGAGTTAAGGATTCTGATGCCTAATGACCAAGGTAGGTCGGTGTTTGGTCTGGATGCCAGCAGCCATGCGCCACGTCTCGCTATTCATACCGCCCTCGTGCCAACTCATCTCCTAACTTTGTGCCGCTCCGCCACTTAAAACAGGAGCCGGGTGGTCGTTTACCGGCAGCCGTCGGACGCGGGCCCCGCATAACTCGGTGAAATGGCGACGGCAGGTGAACTCGATCAATATCGCACCCCACACGTCACTCACCTGACACCGAATTCACAAACACCGGCGGCCAAAATGCCACCGGTAAACAGGAAACCCGGACCACCTTTTGGGGCTAAATCTGGCGCGCGAAGAGGCGGCCCGGTCACCAGCAGGAGGAGGCGGCGGTCTTTCCGGCCGCGTTGGCAGCCTGCGCCGACGCCGAAACGTGTGTTCGGCGTCAAGGTAAGTCGGCCGCTGCCTATTTCCGCCCACTTCGGCTGGATACTATTCTGGGCGCCACCCACGGCGGCGGCGCTCTGTCGTCGGGAGCCATGCCCCATACCCTCTCCATTGTTCGCACGGCGTCTGACGAGGTCTGACGGCGCGGCGTCTGAGGAGCGTCAGCGCCGGCGTTGGCCAGCTCGACCTCGGCTGGCGGCCAGACTCACCCTCCTGCGGCCGTCCCAGACAGACGGGCACGCCCAGTCTACAGCGAGGCCTAACTCCGGTCTGAGTACAGGTCAGACGGTAATACGGGTGGCTGTCTAAACAGTGCCGGCAGCCGGACGCGGACCGCGCACCGGACGCCGTCGGCCAGCGATCGCGGTGTGCGCGCCAGCACACGCTAACCTCCCACGTTGCGACGCGCCCCATCCGGCGTTTCTCCGGGATGGAGGTGCCAACCAACGCTGGCGCAGGCGTTGCGCAAAACACTGCTGATGATTCGGCGGCGTGCGGTGCGAAACTCCCACTGCTGTCTCGCCAAGCCCGCTGAGAGACTGCCTGGTGAAGGGAGCGGAACCGAGTGGTGGCGTCAGTTAAACGGATGGCTACACAGGAGAACGGGGCCTATGTCGCTACGGACGACGCCCGGAAAATCATAGTTTTCTGCTTTCAATATATCACGCATCGATTGCGCCGGTCTGTGACAAAACATAGTTACATCGCCAAAGACTGGAGAGACTTTAAACTCGTCAAAGTGCCTCAGAGCTGATATTTGCCACACGACTGCATCTGGCGGCGACAGCCAGTTGGCTGGCAGTAAACCGACGTCATCCGATCAAGGCGCACCGCTAGCACCGCGTGATCACTAACACTGATCTACAGGCTGCTAGCATGGGTCTCCCACATCCGGTATCATAGCAAAGCCAGGTGATTTTCAGCCAAGCAGACTTTCTCTTCAATGCGCCAGTTTCACTTGTGCTGAACCGTCAAAATCTGGTCATTTTGGCGTACAATACCTCAAAAAGGCGAGCGAGAATGAAGCAGACAAATGCCACAATCCTTGAAGTCAAACTCGCTGCATCACAGCTCAAATTTACATAACGTGCATATGTGTCATAGCCCAGCGTCTCACTTGCATGGTGCAAAAGCTGCAGCAATCTTTCGCGACCTCACACGATGCTGACCTCCGCAGTTATACGGTCAAGGTGCCTCCTCTCCGCGCGTGTGGTCCAGGCCCGGCTACCCGCTGACAGCTCTCTTCGCCGCTT